GGGGGTGGGGGGCGGGGGGGGGGGGCTTTGGGGGCTGTCCAGTAGCAGCGCCGGTCCGCTCCATAGCTCGCTTTAGCTGTCAGGCTGAAAACAGGCAAAGGCGGCAAACAGGATGGGCCCCAACCTGTGCAGGTGCTCATGGCGCTCCCCCCCCCCCGTGGCTGCCTGGCCCCACTGCTTTCTCAGGTGGCCGTGGGGACTTGGGTGCCCTGCCCAGGTGTTGCAGCCTCTCAGAAGAAGGTCTGGTGCTGCGGAGCCCCAGGTCAGCTTGGAAGCGGCCACGAGGTGGCGCCATTGCTGTGCCTGGCAGGGCAGAGGAGGCCGCCTGGCTGGCTGGACTTCCCGGAAAGCCCCTCGGCCTTCCAGAGCTCAGCCCCCCCTCCCCCCCGGAGCGTCTGCTTGGGGGGGGGGCTCCTGCCTGGGAGGGGCGAGGGAGAAGGAAGCTGGCATAGTCAGTGGCATCTGGGCCCTCCTTGGGCCTCGCCCTCCGGAGCCCTTTCCCCGCGGCCTCTGGAGGCCAGAGGTGAGGGTGGGGGGCTGCTGTCCTGCGCTTGGGGACCCCTCCTGCCTGCCCGAAGGTCAAGGGGCTTGTCCTTCTCCCCAGGGTTAACCCCCCTTGGCTCTCCTCGGTGGATCTGGCCCTGGGGAAAGGCAGCTGGAGAGGAACCGAGGGGAGGAGGGAACGTGGGCCTTGGGGCAGGGGCAGGGTGGGGATGAGAGGAAGGGGCCTGGGAAGGACATCAGGGGTGGTTTGGGTCACGGTCACTTGGGCTGAGCGCCTGCAGCTTCCTGCCTGGATTGCCAGGAGGGGGGCCAGGAGCTCTCCCCCCCCCCCCCCCCCCCCCCGAGAGAGAGCTGGTACCGACTGTGGCCCAAGGGCTCCACTGGGCAGCAGCCGAATGGGTGGCTGTCTCCCTTGGCTCACCGCTTCCCAAGAAGGCCGGACTGCCTGGGACTCTCCTCCTGCACCCCCAAGAACCTTTCCGGGCAAGGGGGCAGCTTAATGCAGCCGCCAGCGGGTGGGGGTGGCAAGGGGGGTGGTTCCCCCCCTCGCTTACCTGGGCTACTTGGTTGGGCCAATTGTGTCTGGAGGGAGCCTCCCCCGCAGCCCCAGGGTTGCCAGAGAGTCCCTGCGGGGTGTTGAAAGTAGGGCAGCCCTTCGGCCAGAAGGGAAGAGGAGGCTGAGGGTTAAATATATCCCAGGGCTGCTTATTTTTAGCCAGGCCCTGCAGTGTCGCCCGTAGGAGGTGAACAGGAGATGCCCTGGGCGAGCGAAGGAGCAGAGCCTTCCTGACAGGGGTGGGCAAAGACTGGCCAAGGAGGCTTCCGGGGCCTTTCCCAAGGGCTGCCAAGGGGCCCTGGGCCTCCGCCCGGGGTGCCTTTGGTCGGCTGCAGCCGAAAAGCCCAGCAAGGGCCGGTTGCGTTCTGAGGCTGCCGCTTCCGCTTCCCACCCTGAGCTCGCGCTCTCGGCCCGGTTTACCCTCCGCAGCCCCAGGTTTAGGAGCCGGAAGTCTGCCCGTATCTCCGGTGGTGCCTGAAGGCAGAGATCGGGGGAGGCGTTAGCCGGGGCAGAGGCCCTGCCCCCCTTCTGAGGCCCCCACTGGCAGTTCTGCCCCCGTTGGAGCGCCGGCTGGGCCGCGGTGGCAACAGCCCAGGGATTCCTTTGCGGGATCCATCCCGAAGGAGGGACCAAGGAGAGGTGGGCTCTCCCGGCTCTGATCCCCATTGCAGGGGGCGGGGGTGGGAGAGGGCGGCCCCACCGGGCCCCACAGGGGGGGATTTGGAGGGGCCGGAAAGGCCAAGACAGAGTGCCGGCACTCCAGGGCCTTCCAAGACCTGCCCGGTGGGATCTCGTCTTCCTCGGGCCTCAGCGAGACAGTTGGGGCCCCTCTGAAGGACGAGACCCGGGGCAGCTCAGGAGAGGGTGGGGGGAGGCGCCCTGCCCCCCCCCAGCAAGGAGCGTGTAGGGGTGGCCCATTTCTGGCTGGGGCCCCTCCCCCGCGAAGGCACTCTGGGCGGCCTCCCCCTCCTCTGACCCCGAGGCTCTTAGGGCAGGCAGGGTGCTGATGGCTGGCCTCTCCTGTCCCCGAGCTCCCATGTGCCCAGCCCTGCCCTGCCCTGCCCTCCTGCAGCCACGGGGGGTGGGCGCCTGCTTTCGCCCTTCTTTCCCCAGGGCTGCCCTGGGGCTGTGGGTAGGGGGGCCCCCTTGGGGAGGGAGGGGGCCTGGGCGGCTGGTGATGGCTGCTCCTTTTGCCTGGTGGGGGGCCTCTCAAGGGAAGGGGGCGCTTTGGGGTCCGGCTCTCCGAGCGGCTATGAGGCTGACCTCTTCTTGGCAGTGCTGGGAAAGGGCTGGCTTGGGGGGGGGGGCTTGGGGGGCCCAGAATCCCCCCCCCCAGCTCAGTCCCTGCTCTCTTCCTCTCCCAGGTGGTGCAGGTGCTCAACGCCGATGCCATTGTGGTGAAGCTGAATTCGGGGGACTACAAAACCATCCACCTCTCCAGCATCCGGTCCCCCAGACTGGAAGGGGAAGGCCCCCAGGTAGGGCCCACCTTTCGGGCAGGGCGGGGCCACGGGCTCAGCTGATTCAGGATGACCTAGGTTGAGCTGCCGCCCTCAGACTGGAGTTGCTGCACAGAGACCAGCCTGGCCTGTGCAGGTGGGTGGGGGATCCTGGTTTTAAGAGAGGAACGGCTGAGGGCCCCCGCATCTCTGTTGGGGCCCCTCTTCTGCGGCCCTCTCTGGCGTTCGCTTCCTTGGCTGAGAGCGCAGGAGGAGCGGGAGGGGATGCTTGGGGGGGCTTCAGCTTTGGGCTCCGGAGAGAGGTCGCTTTTCCGGGCCTGCTCCTTTCCTTCCCTCTGGGCGCCCCGGGCAGGCGGAGGAGGAGATGCGCTGGGCGCCCTTGAGCTGCTCTTGAGTCCCAGGCTCTGCCCCACAGGCCCGGCAGGAGGGGCGGCCGGCCTCTGGACCGGCATCCGGTGGCAAAGGGGCGGCTGGAGCCGTTGGTGGGAGATTGGAGACCCGGCTTGCAACTGGGGCAGTTATAGAAAGGCTGGGTAGGGCCCCCCCCCCCCCCCCCCCCGGTGGGTGGTGGTGGCAATGAGGGCTGCGGCTGGCGGGAGGGCTTGGGGAGCCGCTTTGGACACTTCCGGGACAGGCCCCCCCATGGGAGCAGCAGCAGCCCCGTTGCAGAAATTCCCAATTCTCCCCTCTGGAGCGCGGCTGTGCCGGGAGGACAGCTGGGCGGCCTGAGTGGGTCTCGGGGGTGGGGGGGCAGCCTCTTGGCAGCAGAGTCTCCGGCTGGAGATCCTGGGTGCCCGCATGCCCCTCTGGCCCAGGTTGGTGTGGGGCTGGCGCCTTTCCACGAAGGGTGGGTGCTCCCCTTTGCCCTCCTCCCTCGGTCTGGCCCCCCAGGCACCTCTTCGCCTTTGCCGGGTGAGGCCCCCCCCCCAGGGGCACGGTCTGCTGGCTGTGGGGCTGGAGCAGCCTCCCAGAGTAGCTCCGCGGCAGCTGCCCCGGGCTTGTCCCCGGGGCCTGTGGGTGGGTGGGCAGGCTTCTCCCCCGGTGGGGGAAGTGACCGCTGGGGCAGCCTCGTCCAGCATCCCGAGGGGGAAGGAGAGGCAGCTGGCTCCTGACCCGATGGGGGGAGGGTGGGGGGCTGCGCTGGTCACCCAGCCGGCAGCCCAGGGGAGATGCCCCCTCCGGAGGGAGGCCGCTGCCTGCTTGGAAGAGGCGTCTTTGGTCTCCGCTCTGCCCCAGTGGCGGCGGCGGCTGCTCCTGCTGCTGCTTCCCAGCACTGCCACCCGCCAGTTAGGAAGGTATTTATGGGCACTTCTAAATCGGGAGCCTCTTCCAGCAGACAACCCCCCCCCATCTGGGGAGGGGCTAGAAAGGGGGGCCTCTGGAGAGACTGGCAGGGGCCCAGGGCCACGGGGAAGAGCCTCTGGGGAGGGAGCAGAGAGCCGGAGGGAGGGAGGGAGGGCTGAGGGGCGGCTTTGAGAGCTTTGAGGTCGGAGGGGCTCGAGCCCTCCGGGAACCGCCCCATTTCACACAGAGAGCCCTGGGGGTGTCCATGGCGTCTCCCCCTCTTGGCTCCGTTCTCTTTCAGCCTTTGGGCAGGGAAGCCCCCCTGCGCCCTTCCCTCCTCCAGGTGCCCGGAGTCCCCCAGAGGACTGGAATTCCCCCCTGACTGCGCTGACCCCACCGAGGAGGCCCAGGGATCTGCTCTCTGGCCCGGGGAGGCTTTGTGGGGAGGGGCAGCCAGTCCCTCGAGGGGGAAAGCAGCCAGGAGCTTGCGGGGGGGGGGGGCTGGGGGCTGGGGAGGACTTCCCTCTTGTGAGTCAGGTGGGCAGGTGGCCGAGGAGCCCCTTAACCCAGGCGGCCCAAAGCTTTGGACTGCAGTGCGGCACGTCTGCTATTCCACGCAGGAGAGGGAAGTCACGGCTGCGTGTGCCGATCTCGGCCATAGAATAAATGACTCCCCTACGAGGCAGCCGGTGTGGCGTGTCCAGCCCCCCCACGCCCCCCCCGGACTCCTGGCTGCCCTTCAGTGCACGCGTGGAGGCGGAAACAACCCCCACCCCCACCCCCCGCCCAAAGTTGTCCCAACCTCTAGTGGGCATCCAGCTGCCTGGGTGGGACGCTCCCTGGAGAGGACGGGTCGCAGTCGGTAGGAAGGGGCGGAGGCTGCCACAGGAAGGGCCCCTTCCAAGTGCCCATGGGGGGGCCAGCAGCAGGCCCAGGGCGGGGCAGGGCAGGCAGCGGGGCTGGCCCTGGGGGCAGAACCTCTCTCTGGCCTGGATCCTCCTAGTTGACCTGTGCCTGGCCTGGGGGAGGAGGAGGAGGAGGAGGAGGAAGGGGGAATGGAAGATGGGTGTAGGGAGATGCATGCAGACTTGGGAGGGGGGGGGCGTCTTCCAGGGGGGTCTGCTTGCCCCCAAGATTTGCTCTTTTTGGTAGGCAAGAGAAGGAATTTTATTTGGGTCCAAAAGTTCTGCTGATGTTTCTCGGCACCATGAAACTCTGAGACCCCCCCCTCCCTCCCCCCCGGGGCTGTTTTCTTGATTGTGCTTCTCCTTTCTTGTTTTGGGGAGTTGGGATCTGGAGGCGTCTTTCTGCTGAAATGCGGTTGGCCCATTTGCACGAGGCCAGCAAGGGACCCGTTTTAGCCTCTGGGACTTTCCTGGAATGGATCTCACTTGTTCGCTTCGTTTATTTAAGCCGCAGACCCCTAGCGAAGAAGGAGAACAGCCTTACGTGGGGAGGCAGCGATAGTAAGGGAGGAATGGCGGGGGGGGGGCATGGGAGGAGGTCTGGACTTCCCCCCAGCACTGCAGCTGCCTCCGGGCAGGGACCGAGGGGCTGGAAGGGGGCCGCGGCTGGGGCAAGGGAAAGGGGCGGCTCAGCCCGCTGTAGAGGAGGGAGGACCAGGCACCTTCTGGCTGCTTCTGAGGTGTCCCCCCCCCCCCGCCTGGCCCATCACCGCCCCCGGGCGCCTTTCTGGTCCCGGGTTGTTCGGGCGTCTGGGTGGGCCCCCCCCCCGCCCCCCCCCGAAGCCTCCGGTGACCTGCCTCGGCTCCTGTCTTCCCCCACCAGCTCCTGACTCCGGAGATTTGTGTATTTGTGTATTTGTGCCACAAGCAAGGCAGAAAGGCTACAACCACGTTGTAAACAAGGCCACAGGAACAGCGACACGCCTTTGGTTCCTGTAGTAGACCAGAGAGCATGAAAATTTAAAGCTGAGCATCTCAGTTTAATGATCCAGATAATTTTTTCCTGTTACCTTGTTTGAGTGCGAGAGGCACTTTGCCATAAAAATGCAAGCGGCAACTTCCCAGCCAGCGCTTCCCCCTCCCCCACCCCTGTGCCTGAGGCAGAACCACAAATGGCCCTCTGCCTCTGTCCCCCACCCCCACCCCCCCGGGAGAAAAAAGGGCCCCGGGGGGGCGTGCCGCACCCCCTGCTGTGCTCCGATCTGAGCCTAGTGGGCCTCCCTGCACTCACCCGGGAGCCACAACGGGGCTCCTGGACGGGGCGGGGAGGGGCGGTGCCAGCCAGCACTTCAAGAACTGGTGCGGACCACTTGAATCCCACCCACCACTGGGCTTGTTTCTTCTGGCAGGGCAGGTTCCTGGGGCTGCGGCCGAGGGTCTTTCTAAGGAGCCCATCCTGGCCCCCTCCCTGGTTCTGTAGCCAGCCGGAGGGCACTTTTGTGACTCCAGGGAGAGGCTGAGAGAGGGTGGGCGCCAGGGCTTACCGGGTCCTTTCCAGATTGTTTCCCCTGTTAAATAACCGGCAGAACTGGGCGGTTCTGTTTCACGTGGTTGTGGCTGCTGCCGAGGATCGCTGTGTGAGATGGAGGGCCATAGCAGATCTTCCTCTTTCTAAATCTTCAGAAAGTGCAAGCAAGATACGCTGTTACTTATGGTTGGGAACTGGAGGGCCAAATTTGGAAATTTTAAGGAGGAAAATATAGTTGGGCCACACAGGCTAGGAAGCAGAAGTAAAGCAGGAGGAAGCCTTGTGGTTTCGGGCAGTTCCGTGACTTCTTTGTTGCTAGCACAAGCCTCCCAGCAGCCCCACGGCCTCTGCTGCTGCTGCTGCTGCTGCCGCCTGCCTGAACCCCTTCAGATGGGTCCCAGGGAAATCGGATTGACAGCCGAGTTCTCATAGCGAAGACGTGGCTAGAGGCTGCCTGTGGGAAAGGCCCCCAACTGCTCATCTCCAGGCTGCGTCCGAGTCAAGCCGAGGTGGAAGGGAACACAGCCGCTGGCTCCACCGGGTGAACTCGGCCGCACAGCCGCGGGTTGGAGGAAGCGCCTGGGAGTCGCTTGGAAGCCCTGAACCTCAGGGGCAGAGAACTGGGGGGAATGTGAGGAGAGACGGCCAGCCGTGTGTCCGTGGAACAAGCTGTGGAATTGGGCTGAGGAGGGAGGCCAAAGCCGGGGAAGTCTCCAGGTTGATGGTCGGTCGGCCATTAAGTCCCGGCGGGCTCTCAGCCCCCCAAGAGAGCGATCGGCTCCAGGAGGATCTGTCCCCAGCCTCAGGACTTCTGGGGGTACATCGACAGCTGAGCCCATTGGGCTGCCCGCCGGCTCCTCCCTTCCGCCTTCCGCAGAGAGCTGGCTTTCCCCAACACACGTCTGAAGGAGGATCGTTTGTGCTGTGAGTGACTGAGAACTCGGGGTTCATTTTCCGGGCCGTCTACAGTCTACTCTGGGTCCAACACGAAGTTCAGGGGCATCAACACTTCTTCAGAGCCCAACTGCTTTTCCTCCCGGAGCGCCATTCGTAAGAAGGCTTGCAATACTCTGACCTTTGTGGGCGCAGGCGCATCGTGGCGCCTGAAGCTCTTTCGCAAGGCCTTTGGGGCTGCTCTGCCAGGGGGTTGGTCTGTGGCGCGTTTCTTGGCTGCTGATTATTTTTAAGGCTTAATCCTAGGAAGGCAGAAACTACGAGGCACTTTGATTGTCTGCGTTGCCCGTCCTAAGGCTGATGGCCTGTTGTGGTTAGTTTGGTCTTCCTTTTATTTTAATCCCATT